CCCTTCCAGGTACTCCTGAGGGTCTTGCTTGCCTGACAGTGCAGGTGGGATGAGGTATGAGTAGGTAGGTACAGAGCTGGTTCTATGGTTCAGGAAGAGCCAGTGGCAGAGCAGGGGGTCAGAGCTCTTACAAAACAAACAAACGGACTGCCATCAATTTGACTCCAATTCCTAGTAACCTGTGAGTCACAGAGTCTCCCTCACTTCCTAAAACCTGGTGGTTACTACAGCCACTGGCACACACTCCCTTCTCGAAGCAGCAGCGAAGGGTGGGCCCATGTAACGTCCACGTGTGTCCACACATGCTCCTTGCAGGACACTAGAACCATGCCTGGAGACAGCACCCGCCAACCCAGGCCCAGTTCTCCCAGGCAGCTCTTGTCCTCACACTGGAAAGCAAGGTGCTCAGGTGCTTCGGCCTGTTTGTGCTTCGTCCACAAACGAAAAGCACGCAGCACGACGCGGACAAGCTTCGCGAATGACGCGGTGTCTTCAAATAGGAAAGAAACATGCCCCCAACCAAGCGCAGTCCCCTTGAAAAAATAATACTCTAAACCAGGCTCACACGCGCCATGCATATATGTTCCCTTTAAGGTGCCAGCAACAATTTATCACAGGGCCATAATTCACAGTTTTCTTCTTCATCTTACGCTGTCTCTAGTCGGACCGTGCAAGCAGGGGTGTGGGCATTGGGAAGTTAGTGGCTACATGCTTAGCTGCCAACTGAAAGGTTGGCATTGGAAACCCCCCTCCACCACTCCACCCCCCGCCCAGCCATTCTGCCGGAACAAAGACCTGCCTACCTGCTCCTGTGACGATTCCAATCAACCAGCCTCACGGCCACCAACTCGGTGCGGACTCATGGTGACTCTGCAGAACAGGGTAGAACGGCCCCTGTGAGTTTTTGAGACTTAACTCCGGATAGGAGTCGAGAACCTTGCCTTTCTCCTGAGAGCAGCGGGCGGTTTTGAACAGCCTCGGTGGGGCGGGGCAATCCTCCTCTGCACAGCAAGGTCCCAGGTCGGGTCGGAATGGCCTTGATTGCCCACAAGCAACAGCCAAGCATGAGCTTGCTTCCCTCCAGGAGGACGAGGGTACTTGAGCTCCGGGGCTCCTCAGCAGGATTGCACATTAGAATCACCTGGAAGGCTTTTACAACAGCTCAAACCCCGGGCCCCTGATCAGTGAGAGCGGAGCCAGGGCCTGGAGGGCTGTAAAAGCTCCCAGCTGGATGTAAAGCTCACCCAGATTGACAGCCATCGGAGAGACTGTAAACCACAATCTCCGAAACACCCCCTCCCCCCATCAATGGCCATGAATCATTCCATCACTAGTAAGCGAAGGTGCTCGCAGTGAACTGCGCGCAGGATAAACACGCTCACATGACATCAGAACACCGGATGTTAAGAAATGTTAACAGGCATTTGGCACGTGCATCTAATTTAGTATTTGCCGCTGCTCGCTTTCGCACAAGTCACTTATTGAATCCCCACAAATCTCCGAAGCGCCAACTTTTCTTTGACATACTTCTTTTATTTAGGAAGCTACTCTCCCTGTCATGCCGCAATGGAGGAGAGGAGAAGATTTCTTGGTCACATTTTCCCTGAGCAAAGTTAGTTGCTTCCTGCCCTTCTCGGCAAGCCCTTATTTGTCGAGCTGTAATGATCTATTTTCTCCAACATTCCGCACTAGGCTATGAGCTCTTGAGGTAGGGCCAATGCTTTCGTTTAAACTGGCCCTGCTCCCCAGTACAAGTGAGGGCTGGAGACAGGTAAAGACTGCACGGGAGCTGGTGAGTCTTGTCTGGAACTCATTCGGAGCACCCTGGGTCAATGCAGCTGTACAGGACGTTGACTCTCCTACCCTCTTCCAGCCTCAAAGCTTGGCCTGCAGGCTGCTCCTGGGTCCCAGCTGTTCCCAGCCAGCAGTCTAGTTCGCATTTGCCATGCTAGCAATGGCCTCTTGGCTGCAGACAAAGATGCGCAGGATGGAGCTAGCCACCCCACAGACGGGGCTGAGCCCCACCATTGAGTGGGCAAGCCTGAAGCAAGGCCCGTGCCACAGGGCCACGTGTTTCACCTGGCTGCACAAGAGGTGTCAGCAGAATTGAATTAAGATCGAGCAAGAATAAAAAAGAAGCCTTCCAGGTGTGGGAGCTAATAATTCACCGCTCTCTTCAATAGTCCTACAATGTTAAGGGAAACCTTGAAAAGTTCCCTTGAGGTGAGAATAGCCCACCCTGCTTCCTTGATTCAGAAGACTGTCCCCCCCCCCGCCCACCACCAGAAGACTGGTATTTAACGTCACTTGATGAGACACAAGGGAAGACCAAGGGGAGGGGAAGAAGGGGGGAGGGAAGAAGCCAGGCTTTTAAAACTCATTCCCAAGGACTGTGAAGACAACGGGGTCTCCACTAAATAATCGCCCCAAGTAGCAAGATGGGGGTGGGGAGTGGGGGGCATTTGACTCAGACACCATGTCACAAAAGCCGCAAACGGATCGATCAACTTGGTCACTGTGTGAATCTCCTGCCTGGAAGGTTGTTTGTAGAATTTTTTCAGATTCACGCTTGCCAATGGAAACACTGAGTCCATTCTTTAGGATTGCTGTCCTATTTGAGAGACTTCTCTCGGTGGTGGGATAGATACTCTATTATTATAGGCACGGGTGGGGCAAGCCATGAGGGCCTACATTGCTCCCTAGACACTGGTGGGTCAAGTCTAGCAGAAGTTCCATGGGGACCTTTTTCAGAGATCCTGCATAAGCAGTCACTGGGGACCGTGTGGGGCACATGTCTTCTCTGACAGCTGCCAGGTGTAGCTGTCAACCTACCAGCAACTAGTAAGAAGCATGCTACAGACAGTGTGGTTTGTAGCAACACTGCAGGAGCCCTGGTGGCATAGTGGATTACACACGGAGCTGCTCAGCCTACGGTCAGCAGTTCGAACCCATCTGCCGTTCCACAGGGGGGAAGATGAGGTTGCCTATCCCTTAAAGAGTTAATAGTCTTAGAAACCCACCGAGGCAGTTCTACCTTGTCTTATAGGGATGCTATGAGTTAAAAAGCAAGGGTGCTCCTGACCTAAGCCATGGTATTTTCTATCGCCTCATATGCATATGAAAGTTGGACATTGAATAAAGAAGACCGAAGAAGAAGGGATGCATTTGAACTGTGGTGCTGCAGGGCAAGATCGGACTGCTAAAAGGACAAGCCAACCTGTGTTGGCAGAAGAATGGCCAGAGTGCTTAAAGGCGAGGATGGCAAAACTTCATCTGAGGTACTTTGGGCAGGTTGTCAGGAGAAACCAGTCTCTGGCGAAGGCCATCATGTTTGGTAAAGTCGAGGGCCAGCAAAGGAGAGGAAGGCCCTTCAAGAGATGGATTGACAGTGGCTGCCTCAGTGGGCTCAGGCACAGGGACCATGGTGAGGCTGGCGCAGGACTGGGCAGGGTTTCCTGCTGTTGTGCATCAGGCCACTATAGGTGGGCACTGACTTCATGGTCCCTAACGACAATGGCAACAGGAGTTGGAGTCAACTCTACGGAGGAGAGTTTGAGTTTTGGAGACAGGCATGCGCCTTTCAGACACGAGCACTCTGGGAAATCCTGCTTTTCAGAAACGGCTAGAACGGTCCTGCCAAGGGGCAGGTGGACCAGCAGGTGCTGGGAGGGCTGTGCCCATCTGTGGAATCCTGGGCAGGAGCGGCTCACAGAAGAGGCTCGTGGGGAAATCTTCCTGGAGGTGGTTCCTTCACTACAAGCCCATCATTCCCAGAGGAGGGAGGGGAGGGGTAGTGGCATGGTCCTGAGTGGTGTGGCCATTCCTCCTCATTATGGGATGGCACATCAGCCCAATTATACCTAAAAATACACAAGTCAGCTCTTCCGGCCGGATGCCCAACAGTGTGCGGAGCCAGCTTGCAGAGAGAGAGAGGGGGCTGGGGAATAAAATCACCTCACCCTGCTTAATGAAACAGACCGAGGTTACTAAAAACCCGGAATGAGGAATCATGGAGGGAAACCTCCATTCAGTGGCTGATCGATCAAAGGACAGACTCCCACGGGCTACTTGCCCTCCACCCTCCTCAGTGTCCCCCCGCCCTGCTGTGGTTCCTCTCTGGCTCGGCTGGGGCTGTCAGACTAAGTACCAGGGCAAACAGGGGCCTGGCTTACAGGCACCAGTTTGGTCCGATGCCTGGGGAAAGCAGCCTCCCCTCTCTCCCCCTTCTCAGTGCTCCGTACCCGAGCCAGGAGGCCCTGGGCAGTGCACATAGTCCACACGCTCGGCTGCTGACCCAAAGATTGACAGTTAAGCACACGCAGGGGGATCTCGGAAGAAAGTCCTGGCAACTGGTCAGCATTTGAAAAAGAAAAAAAAAAAAGCAACTACGAGAACTCTGCAGAGCACACTCTATTCTGACACACACGGGGTCCCCACTGGTGCCTCCTTCTGGCTGAGTCCCCCCCTTGCCCCTAGCCAGTCTCTTGCAGAATTTCTATTTTCCTCTTTCTCACAGACCTGCATGACTCCAGAGGTTCCTATAAGCCATAAAAGGGGGAGGGAGATGCGCAGGGTGTTCAGTACCCCCCCCTCCCATGCCTCATGCCCCTGACGGGTTCGCCACGTCACCCCTCGCCCCCTCACAGCACACACCAGAATTGCGGGAAGAGCACTTCTTGTTTTCAAAGTCATGAACACTGTGGTTCAAATCCCAGGGCTCTGCCATCGACACAAGGGGCAACCTTAAACAGCACCCGCCCGCCTCTGCACTTCCACCATCTGCCCATGGCGTGAGCCAGGCACCCACGCTATGTGGCTGTTTAGAGAGTGGAATTAGGTTGGGCGCCCAAGCACACCCCACACAGTGCAGGGCGTGTGCACAAAGCTATCGGGCTCTCTTGGTCTATTGCAACATTCTCCACAGTGCTCCACGGCCCCCATCACCCCTCCAGCCCCGCTGTCTCACGAGCCAAGAAAACACGAGGGGCTGCAAGTCTCACCTGGTAGACTGCCCTGGAGATGCACCATCGCTTCAGCATCAGCTGCAGGACCCCGAGATGTCCCCCTCGGCACGTCCTCAGGACCCGGCAAGCCAGCTCCCACACCAGACCGTCCCAGCTACATACCAGCTCCTCAAAGCCTGGCAGCGGAGCAGCCATGCCAGCTTCAGGCCCCGCCTCAACCCCTCTTTGGTCCCAGGCCCTAGAAGGCGGGCTGTGCTCCCTTAGCAATGCAAAGTTCAAATGGCACTAAGATTTAATCGGTTAAGGGAAAATGCAGTTAAAATAACTGTTTCCTCTTGCGCCACTCCCCTCTCTCCCTACCTTCCCTCACCAGTGACCACCCCCACCGATCTTTGGGGACTGTTTTTTCTCAAGGATTGGCAAATGGCTCCTAAATCAAACTGCTTCCTTCTGGTCTCTGGGGACTTACCAGGGACAAGGTAAAAATAACCACTAGCAAGTAGATAACCCAATACCCCTCTCGCTACACCAACGCTGGCTGTGTGTGAGTGTGTGTGTGTGTGTGTGTGTGTGTGTGTGTGTGTGTGTGTGTTTTGAACCAGAGTTCAGGGAAGAGTGTAAATCCAGACACATCCCGAGTTCCCAGGGTGCCGGGGCCCCATCCAGGGGTGAGAAAGTTAAGGCGTAAGAGCCGCAGGCCCCCCCTGCCAACATTCCCAAGACATTCCATCCACAATCTTAACTCTTGAGCCTGGCAAAGCCGAATGCTCAGCTTCACATCAACACTGGAGACATGGCTATTTCTGTGGGCAATTTGTAAAAACCCACACATTTTCTTTGGAAACCTCCCAAGTTTAGCTTAGGATTAAAACGGCCGGAGGAAAACTTATCTGATAGATTTAATATCAACATCCCAGACTTTGGGGGAAATTAGATGAAGGTGGTAAAAGCAACATGCTCCATTTCCCACCCACCTCTCCCCACTTCCCCTTCGAAGTGACTGCCGACCAAAGCATTTGCTACGTCATGACATGCTGTGGCTACGCTGTCTGCAGAACCCAGACCCAAGGATGCCTTGTGTTGGTTTTCACAAGGTGGCCTCCCAGATGCATTTAGGAGGAGGCTGTACATGCAAAGTGTTGGGCTGCATCGTGGCCTAGTGGATTATGCAATTGGGCTGCTAACCACAAGGTTAGCAGTTCTAAACCACCAGTTCCTCCTCAGGAGAAAGGGGCTTTCTTTTTTAAAAAAATCATTTTATTGGGGGCTCGTACAATTCTTATCACAATCCATACATCCATCCATTGTGTCAAGCACATTTGTACATTTGTTGCCATCATCATTCTCAAAACATTTGCCTTCTACTTGAGCCCTTAATATCGGCTGCTCATTTCCCCCCTCCCCCCTACTCCCCCCTCTGTCATGAACCCTTCATAATTCATAAATTATTATTCTTTTGTCATATGTTACACTGTCCGACGTCTCCCCTATCCTCTTCTCTGCTGTCCATCCCCCAGGGAGGAGGCTATATGTAGATTCTTGTAATTGGTTCCACCTGAGAAAGGGGCTTTCTATTCCCATAACGAGTTCGTCTCAGAAATTCACAGGGGGCAGTTCTACTCTGCCCTGTAGGTTCACTACGAGTCAGAATTTCAATGACAGTGCGTTTTAGAGGTCTGCCTATCTATTTAGTTACTTATTGGCTGGTTTAATACTGGTTTCTTCAAGCCTCATCTTTAATATCGTCAGAGGAGAAGGAAGTGTTTGTGGAGTCAGACATACTTGGCTTTGAAGCTGGTCTACCATTTACTTCATGGCCTTGGATAAACTAACTTCTATAACTTATTTCTTATCTGTGAGAGGGGAGTCATGTCTACCTCAGTGGGAGGGACAATGGGAGCAAAGGCCTGGTGACCGGTTTCCACTAAGCCAAGGAACGCGGACAGAAGCAGCTCTGTTCTGTAACATGCTTGGTTGCCATGAATCAGAGTCAACCCCACAGCCATGGACAGCAAAGGCAAAAATGTAAGTTAAGTGACAATACAGGGTGTGGTATGAAGCCGCTTTTTTTCCTTTTAGCATTTATCTGGCATTTCCTACCACAAACAATGACAGATAAGGCAAAATCTTGGGATTCCGTTCCTTAATATCCTTTTTCCCTCCATTCTCTATAAATCTGTACATTCTGTTTCACTACATATTTTTCATTAACATGTGAAGACAATTGCCATCTGAATGGATTCTTCTTTGGTGGGTTTTGTGATTTTCCCATGAATAGTGGTTGTAGGCTGAACCTCCTTGCATGATTTCGCTTTTGTATACTTCGCTTTATCCTGCAATACAGCGACACTCACCTCCAGTTGGCTTTCATGCAGTCAATGCGGACTCAGAGAGACCCCGCAGGAGAGAGTAGAATGGCCTTTGTGGGTTTCTGAAGCTAGCAATCTCCGTGGGAGCAGACGACCTCATCTTCTGCCCGCGGAACAGAATTGCTGGTGGGTTGGATCAACTGACCTTGCATAACTGCTATGCCAGCGCGGCTCCGGGGACACCCTGTGATCGAGGGGCCAGAGTAAAGCACCGTGCCTGTTTCCCAGCGCCTTCCTGACAGAGACAGTTCTGCACAGGAAGGAAGGGAAGAGGAAGAGAGGGAGGAAAGGGGCCAGGAAGGAGGGAGGGAGGGAGATGGGGAGGAGATAGGAAGGGAAGAAAGAGTGAAGTAAAGGGAGTTTTGAAAGGAAGTGGGGAGGGAGGACGAAGGGAGGAACTGAAACTAAAAAATGGTCTGTGGAGAATGATTGTTCCCTTAAAATTAGCTAACTGCCTTGCTATTTTCAAGAAAAAAACCCAAAGGCACGGCATATTGTCGGGAGCGGCTGCATGTTTGCCATGGGCTAATGCTCCCCATCAGCCAAAAGATTTGGCTGTGACCCAAGCCCTTATCCAGAGTTTGTAATTATGGAATAGATAGGGACTGTTCGAAAGGCACTGCTGTATACCATGATTAAATAATATGACTTAGAAAATTTAAATATATATATATTTAGCTTATGCTCTGAGAATCCCTGAGGTCTAACAAAGTGCCACAATACGTTTTGTGATTTTTAAAAGCGGCAAAATGTAAACCTATCAATTCCTGAGAATAGAGTGACCTTTTCTCCCAAGTCTTTCTGCCAGGGTGGGAGGGCTGGGGTGGGCGGCTGCTGGCAGCTATCCGCTGCAGGCACCTGTCTGCAGCCTGGTCTCGGAGGTTGGCGACCTTCACCGAAGCCTGTCTTGGGGCCCGTGACCGTGTGCACGGTGAGGGCAGCTGTGGCCAGTGCTGCTGGAGGACGCGGCTCCTCCCATGGGGCCGGGCTCTTCAGTTTCATCTGATTGTGCTCTAGATTCCAGCCATGGTCTTGTGCTCGTTTTCACAGGGAGGCCTCCCAGAGGGCAGCTAGGAGGCTGTGCGTGCAAAGCCTTCAGTGGGAGAAAGGCGAGGCTGTCTGCTCCCCTGAAAGCTAGTCTCCAAAGGCCACGGCGCAGCTCTGCTCAGCCCTCCAGGAATGCTGTAAGTCGGATTCGACTCAACGGCAGCGGGTGTGCTATGCGCAAAGCACCACCACCGTTAATCAGATGTTCTGTGCTTTCCAAAGGGTTTACAGTTCTCCTAGCACACACTAGCACCCACGCACGCACACTCACACACCAAGGTATATACACATATCCTTGAGTGACAATAGTTACTTCCTTGACTAGGGACCATGAACCGCATGGCGGTTCATCGGAAGAAAGGCTTGGTGGCTTCCTTCTGAAAGGTCATAGCTTTGGAGTCCCATGGAGCACATTGTTACTCGGCCCGCAGGGGTCTCCCTGAGTGGGGATCAATTCTGTGACCACTACTAAAAAACCACGAAACCAGCACTGCCATCGAGCGGTTCTCCTTTATAGCAACCTAAGATAGGGTTTGCGGAGACTGCAAATCTTTACAGGAGCAGACAGCCACCTCGTTCTCCCACAGTGTCACCAGGTCTTATTTTGAATGGGTAATGCGTGCACACACGTGCACACGCACGTCTCCATAGATTCTTAAAACAGTTTTATTGGTACTTCATCCACATATATAATTCAATAGTTCAAGCATATCACGAAAAGCTGTACAATCATTACCACAATCAATTTTAGAACAGTTTCTTCTTCTTTATACTCTGTTACTCATGTAATTGTTTTTTCAACTGTATGCAAGAAAAGATTCTCCCACTCGACAACTTCTACATTTACCATTCAGTGCCATATATTTGTTTTAAGTGGCCCTGATGGCATAGTGGGTTACAAGTTGGGCTACGAACAGCAAGGCTAGCAGTTCTAGCCAACCAGCCACCACATAAGAGAAAGCTGAGGCTTTCTGCTCCCATAAAGATTCCAGTCTTGGAAACCCAAGACACACAGTTTTATCCTGTCCTACAGGGTCACTGTGGGTCAGAATCCATTCAATGACTGTGGATGTAGTTATCTTTGTTAGCTATCAGAGTGTGAGAACACACACACACACACACACACACACACACACACACACACGAGTTATGCCTTGTATCAGTTATCTCTAAGTATACCCTTTAGGCTATTTTTCCCAAGGACAGCAAAATTTGCGGATGCTCCAAGTCCTTATATAAAAGAGTTCAGTATTTACAAATAGCCTATGCAAAGCTCCCATACCTTTTAAATCATCTCTAGCTTGTGGTGGCGTAGTGGTTTACGCTGGGCTGCTAACCACAAGGTCAGCTGCTCCTCGTGAGAAAGACTTGGATTTCTACTCCCATAAAGAGTTACAGTCCTGGAAGCCCATGGGGTATAGAGTTGCTCTGCGTTGGCATCAACTCGATGGCACGGAGTTTGGTTTTTGATTTTTCATACAATGTCAATAATAACACCTTATATTTTTAGGCTTCGAGGCTTTGACCACTCAATTTCTTTTTGTTCACCATATATCTGTGATCGGTGGTGTGCTAAATCTTCAGACGCAGAATCATATATATATACATATAAATGATCATAGATATACATAACTTCATATAAAATCATACACACAGAGACAGACAGAGGTGTTTGCGTGTCTGCGTCCCCTCACTGCATTGCACAGAGGGGCGAACTCCAGGGTGAAGAGCAGTGTGGCCTGCCTATACCACCTAAATGATTTGGTGGAACTGGGCCAG